CACACACACACACACACTCCACCTAAACGTGACTTTTCACCTAACAGGGATAAATTCTAATCCATGATAGGCAAAAATAAACACACGGATTTATAATATTAATCCTTACCGGTAATCCCTTTAAATTAGTTGACGGCTCTTGATGCTGGATTTTTCTATTCTGTTGAGAGGGATTTGAGATGTGAGTGAATTAAAGCTTTACTGAAGTGTTTTGGGGATGTGTGTCTAGAATCTGCAGGTAGAAGTGTGCTGGATGATGATTATTAACTATGAATGTGTGTGTGTGTGTGTGTGTTGTGTGTGTGTGTGTGTGTGTGTGTGTGTGTGTTGTGTTGTGTGGTGTAGTGTGGTGTAGTGTGAATTGTGTGTGTGTGTGTGTGTGTGTGTGTGTGTGTGTGTGTGTGTGTTTTGCGAATCAGGGATCTTAACACACAGTCAAGTGTCACTTGGTGTGGAGGTCACATGGTGTGGAGGTCACATGGTGTGGAGGTCACATGGTGTGGAGGTCACATGGTGTGGAGGTCACATGGTGTGGGTCGTACAGTTGTCTTATGAGTGATAAACATTATACTGCACCTTAAGACAAGATGGTAAAGCTTATATTCTCTAATGTATTCGTGTGTGTGTGTGTGTGTGGTGTGTGTGCTTGAATTATGTAAGTGTGAATTGTAATTATTATTAGTAATAATATTATTAATGTATTATTGATATTGTGTATGTGTGTGGTGTAGTGTGGTGTGTGTGTGTGTGTGTGGTGTGGTGTGTGTGTGTGTGTGTGGCTGGTGTAGTGTGGTGTGTGTGTGTGTGTGTGTGGTCTTAGTGTGGTGTAGTGGGGTGTGTGTGTGTGTGTGTGTGTGTGTGTGTGTGTGTGTGTGTGTGTGTGTGTGTGTGTGTGTGGTGTAGTGTGTGTGTGTGGTGTGTGTGAGTGTGTGTGTGTGTGTGTGTGTGTGTGTGTGTGTGTGTGTGTGTGTGTGTGTGTGTGTGTGTGTGTGTGTTTCTTAAGACTAACGCAGATGTGTCTCGACTTTATCAGTATTTACTAAGGGAAAAAAAAAAAGCTGACCTCCTTTTAATTTCCTTGTTCGTCTGAGAGAGAGAGAGAGAGAGAGAGAGAGAGAGAGAGAGAGAGAGAGAGAGACTCAGAAACAAAGATAAAAAAAGACAGAGACAGAGAGAAAGAGAAAGAGGATCCTCACACCACTGAATATTCTCCAACACTAGAACACTCGTATCCCCTTAAACTCAATAACTCCCAGACCCAAACAATAACATATTCTATTTTACCTTATTTCTCTACCACTGACCCCTCGTGTGTTGTAATCATCCTAAGGGGACAAGCTGCTCTGTTTTTCCTCCTCCCTTTAACCCCCCTCCCCCCCTTTACCCCCCAACAACAGCCTCGACTTAAAAACAAAAAAATAGGTCCGTATTGGTGCAAACTCCCATCACCAGTCCTGGGTTTCCCGTGCTCCCTCTCCCTGCCCAAATGGCGGAGTCAATTAGTGTAAAATTCAATATGATCCACGGGGGAAAGCCACTGATGAGGGCCACATAAGAGAATACAGGCTCATAAATATCCCTCTCTAACTCTCTCTAACTCTAACTCTCTCTCTCTCTCTCTTTATATGTGATCTCCCTCCAGGCTCTCGCTCACTTCAGGGAAAAATTATCATCTCTCTATATACGTCTAATATATATATATATGCTGTGTGAAATACCCCTTTGTTTATACCCTCTAGTACCCACAGTTACCCCTTAGTGCCCACAAAAACCCCTTACACACCCCTTAGTTCTCACAAACACCCCCTTACACACCCCTTAGCGCCCACACACACCCCCTTACACACCCCTTAGTGCTCACAAACACCCCCTTACACACCCCTTAGTGCCCACACACACACAAACCCCTACAAGGTCTCTGGACAGGGCTCATGTAATCCCCAGAAAAATCCTTTTGTAAAGTTGAAGAAAGTTTTTGACAAGTCCTCTCCCCTTACCCCCTCCCCTTTGTCTTATTTATTACCCCCCTCCCTTTCACCCCTTCCCTCCTCCTCCTCCTCTCCTCCCCTTTCAATCTTCTCCCTTTCATCTCTACGTAATCCTTTTCTCACTCCTCCTTTCATCCCTCTTCCCCTCCTCCTCCTCCTCTCTCTTTTCCTTCTCTCCTTTCTTTCCTTCTTCCCTCTCTTCTCTCCCATCCTTCTTCTCCCCTCCCTCCGTATCCACTTCCCTCTAATAGTCTTCCCCTCTCCTCCCCCTCCCCTCTCCTCCCCTCCCCCTTCCCTCTCAGTCACTATGGTTCAGGACTACACGGACATAACTCCATAACTTCCCCAGAACATAACTACGTTTGTGATATTTCAATCGTCGTTGTTCCTCCTAGATAAAAAAAGGTACTCTAGTGTTGTTCATCCTAGATAGAGAAAGTGTTATAGCGTTGTTCGTCCTGGATAAAGATGTTTTAGCGTTGTTCGTCCTAGATAAAGGTATTATAGCGTTGTTCGTCCTGGATAAAGATGTTATAGCGTTGTTCGTCCTAGGTAAAGGTATTATAGCGTTGTTCGTCCTGGATAAAGATGTTTTAACGTTGTTCGTCCTGGGAATCAAATGTCAACGAATCATAAAGAATAATTTGGTGTAATTTCTAACAGTTAACTCGGGTGAACCTGCTTCAAGGCCTTGTAGAGTAACGCGCTCACACACACACACACACATGACAGCTGGTCTTTGTGTTTCTCAGACAGTCGTGTGGGATAAATTGTATTGATAGAGAGAAATAAATATTTATAAACCTCCTCTCTACCCTCCACCTCACTGCCTACCCTCCCTCTACTCCTCCTCTCCCTACTACCTCTCCTCACTACACCTCCTCCTACCCCCTCTCCATCACTCGTTAAAGGTCACTCATGAAAGACATATAATCTTATATGACCTTTGACCCTTCAGTATACGAAAGATAACAATTATATAATAGTATAGTAAATCTATATAAGGCAAGACGGCCCCCTGAATCTTGGGAAATATCTTGGGAAATATCTTGGGAAATATCTTGGGAAATATCTTGGGAAAAATCTTGGGAAAAATCTTGGGAAAAATCTTGGGAAAAATCTTGGGAAATATCTTGGGAAATATCTTGAGAAATATCTTGGGAAATATCTTGGGAAATATCTTGGGAAATATCTTTGGAAATATCTTGGGAAAAATCTTGAGAAATATCTTGGGAAATATCTTGGGAAATATCTTGGGAAATATCTTGAGAAATATCTTGGGAAATATCTTGGGAAATATCTTGGGAAATATCTTGGGAAATATCTTGGGAAACATATCATGAGGACGCTGCTTCACACGTCAACAGAAAATAAACACAGATTACCTTGTAGGGGAACCAAATTAGAAGCAATGTTATGGAGGAGAGTAAGACGGGTCACAGGGGACGTCGAGGAGAGGGAAGTGAGAGGGTGAGGGTGAGAGGGATGGTGAGAGGGTGTGAGGGAAGTGAGAGGGTGAGAGGGGAGGGTGAGAGGGAAGTGGGAGGGTGAGTGGGAAGTGGGAGGGTGAGAAGGAAGAAGGAGGGTGAGAGGGACTTCGAGGAGAGGGATGTAAAGAAAGAGGGTGAAGGGAGAGAGAGAGTAAGAGGGAGAGAGAGAGAGAGAGAGAGAGAGAGAGAAGGAATCATCATTCAGCGTCACAAGGATACTGAGAAGGATGGATGGGTCGTGATAGATGAAGGATGCTAACTGTGGATGATTCTCTCTCCACAAAAATAATCACCATCAACCAAAAAAAAAAAAAAAAAAACACTTAAAAACTCCCACACTAAAAACAACAGACAAACGAAGAGCCAGAATAACAAACAAGATTTATGAAATAACATGAACGACCAAAAGGGAAATAAACAAAAAGAGAGAATGATTAAAGGTGAATAGAAGAATATGACAACAGAGAAGGGGTGGGGTGGTAGGGGAGAGTTCAATGGTCAATATCAAACACTGTAGCACAGAAACAGGGGTAGGGTGTGTTAGGTAGGTGTGTTAGGTAGGTGTGTGTGTTAGGTAGGGGTGTGTGTTGGGGGTAGGGGTGTGTTAGGTGTGGGGTGTGTTAGTAGGTGTGTTAGGGGTAAAGCAGGGGTAGGTGTGCAGGTAGGGGTGTGTTAGGTGTGTGTGGGGTGGGTGTGTTAGGTGTGTAGGTGGGGTGTGTTGGGGTAGGTGTGTTAGGTAGGGGTGTGTTGGGGTAGGGTGTGTTAGTAGGGTGTGTTAGTAGGTGTGTTAGGTAGGTGTGTTAGGTAGGGGTGTGCAGGGGTAGGGTGTGTGTTAGGTAGGTGTGTGTTAGGTAGGGAAGTAGTAGGTGTGTTAGGTAGGGTGTGTTAGTAGGGTGTGTTAGGTAGGGTGTGTTAGGGTAGGGTGTGTGTTAGGTAGGGTGTGTTGTGTAGGAGTGTGTTAGTAGGGCAAGTGTTAGGTAGGGTGTGTTAGGTAGGGTGTGTTAGGTAGGGTGTGTTAGATAGGGTGTGTTAGGTAGGGTGTGTTAGGTAGGGTGTGTTAGGTAGGGTGTGTTAGGTAGGGTGTGTTAGGTAGAGTGTGTTTATCCCTCACTACCAGCTGTTTCTCTCACTACTTGGTAATTCCCTCATAACAAACCTTCCTCCACACATGATTGGAGACTCTCACCTGTGTTATCGTATCAGTAATTACAGGTAACGATACGTGTTTGTTTTTGTTTGTTTTTTTCAACCCCGACATACATACATACATACATACATGCAATACATACATACATACATACATACATACATCATACATACATATTTTCTCAGTATTTTTAGAGCAAATCAATACTTTTTAATACTTTGTCTCTCGTGTGTGTGTGTGTGTGTGTGTGTGTGTGTGTGTGTGTGTGTGCAGAGAGACAGAAAAACAGATAAACAAGGACTAATCTATATAAGGAGTGGACAGAGAGGGACAGATAGACTAGACAGATAAACAGACAGACAGGTGAAAACTTACCTCTGTGGGCGAGGCAGCAGAGAGCCAGCACCAGCAGGTACTTGGCGGCGGCACTGTTGGCAGCCATGTCCCATAACCTCTCGAGACTGTGATGGCTGCACCTGCTGCTGTTACTCCTGCTGCTGTTCTGTGTGTAGCAGCAGCTGTTCTGTGTGTAGCAGCTGCTGTTCTTGTTGTTTCTTCCGCTGCACTGTTGTTTCAGGGAGAATTAACCCCCCCCCCTAGGGAGTCTTGTTTCTCCTCTTTCCCTCCTCCTGTCTCTTCTTCTTCTTCTCCTTCTTCTTCTTCTCTTCCTCTTCTTTCACCCTCACCTGGCTCTCCTTAATTAACACAGTCTCTAGGTGTGACCCCCAGCAGGTAGGTCATCAGGTCATCACGCACACATACAGACACACACCTCCGCCTCCTGTGTTGCTCTGATCTCACCTGAAAATTTTGAAGAAACTTTTACTACGTTTTTCTTTTCTTTTTTTTTTAGTTAAGGTAAATGTTTTTATTTTATTTTATTTTTGTTTATTTTTTTTTATCTTTTGATTAATCTTTCAGTAATTATTTTTGTTAAACTTTTAATGTTCATAATTTGTTCAATGTTTTTAATAATTTTTTTTTGTTTTTTATTTATTTTTGTCTCAAGTTGAAATATTTTCCAAAAGCTTCTAGTCCAACCTCGGTCTGTCTCTGGCACTAATAACGTACAGGTGTGCCAGGTGCCAGCCCACAGTGCCTCACAGGTGACCGTAAGTGCCACCGTCCACGAATATATATATACTAATACCTAACCTGTGTTGAATCACCTTTATAACTCTTTGTCATTTAGGGAACAATTTCACCGTATAATTATTAAACGATACGATAATTTCTGGGTCATCTCCCGCCATCTTGTTACCCCCTGAGACCCAATATCCACACGGGGGATGATTTTTCGAACCCTCACCAAGTATTGTGAACCCTGAGTGTTTGAGTTGAATTGAGGGATATTCGAAGCTATGACTCCCCGGAGAGTGAACTAATTGAATCCCGACGAGTGAACTAATTGAATCCCGACGAGTGAACCAATTTAACCCTGACACCGAATCTGAACAGGAATCCACTGAGCTCCCGGACGAGCGGAACCACACCGAATCCCGACGAGTGAACCAATTTAACCCCGGAGAGTGAACCAACTGAATCCCGAATAGTGATCTAATTGAGCCCCGACGAGTGAACCAATTTAACCCCGAAGAGTGAACCAATTGAACCACATCTTTGGTTCTTTACTGTAAGTCTACTGGCTGATCTGATTCATACTACCGAACCATCGAACCCTTTATAGAGAGAACGAAACCTCTAACCCTAGAACCTTCCCCTTATGAATATAACGAAGGTACAGAAATGCCACCATCATCATCATCATCATCATCATCATCATTATCAAAGAGTCTCGTCCAATTAGCTCTCACCAAAACCATGCACCAGTTACTAAGCGCCTTAAGGCCTGCTATCACCCCCACCCCCCACCACCATCCCCACCACACCACCCCCACCACCACTACCACCCCACCACCCCCTACCACCCTCACCCCCACCACCACTACTTAAAAACTATTCCCTCCTCGTGTTTAACTCTCTGCGTACTTAAGCTACCATCATTATATCTCCACGGAGCCTTATTACAGCGCCTGGTCTTCTCCTGCCTCTGATCTCTGTAAAACTTAGAAATTACGAATGATTTTAAATTCTTCTGTAACCATATTTGACTTACGGATAACAGAATACCTTAGACTCTAACTTAATACTTTACTATTGTCATTAACTTACTTTAAATGACATGAAATATTATTAGTTAATTTGACGTAGTTTATCCCTAAAGAAAATTAGTATTAGCGAAGTCTTCTAAAAACTCGGTGAAGTATTATTATTATTATTATTATTATTATTATTATTATTATTATTATTATTAGTTGTTACTTAGGGTAAATGGCAAACTTTTTCAACTCTTTTTAGTTTGTTGTTGTTTGTGTAAAAGTTTGTGAATAACGAACAGTTTTGGAGGTGAGTGAGTGTTGACAGATATTGTAAATGTTTGTGTGTTTTCCTATTTATAGTCGTCAAAAGTTTTAGTAATTAATACTTGTGTCGTGTAACAAATGGCAATACTGTATTGTGTTATTATTATTATTATTATCATTATTATTATTATTATTATTATTATTATTATTATTATTATCATCATTATTATTATTATTATTATTATTATTATCATTTTTATTTCAAGGTTAATATCACTCGTGTTTCAGTATATCGAGGCATTATTTAAATTCTACTTTTTATTATCAATTAATTATTTGTTTACTTATCGACTTTAAAAAAAAAAGTTAACAATTCATTAATTTTCCGGTTTATTTTTGTTTTTATTCTTTTAATTAAGTTTCCTAACCAGTTACACCACAGAAAAAGTTTACAACATTGATCTAACACAAAGTTTTCGAATAATATGCCAAGACTTTGAGAATAATTCACCCGTGTTCCAAAACTTTTTTCTTAAAAAAAAAAATCACTGTTCACGTTGCACCTCCCATCAGTGGTTGAGAGGTTCCATATTTCCCCACCAGAGTCTACCTACCCTGAGCTCATAGGTAAGGAATGCGCCAGGAACAAGTAACACGTTATGAACAGGTAATGCGCTAGGAACAAGCAAAACGCTAGGAACAAGTAACACACAAGGAACAAGTAATGCACAAGTAATGTAGTACCCATATTAAAAAAGGGAGACAGAGCATCAGCGTCAAACTACCGGCCGATTAGTTTGACGTCAGTAGTGGGGAAATTTCTTGAATCAATTATAGCAAATAGCATTCGATCGCATATAGAGAAAAGCAAATTAATCTACGACTCTCAACATGGGTTTACAAAGGGAAAATCTTTTCTAATAAATCTGCTGACGTTTTTTAGGAGTCTTCGAGGTAGTAGATAATGACGAAAATTACGATGTTACTTACTTGGACTTTAGCAAAGTACCACATCAGAGGCTTCTGAGAAAAATTAAGGCTCATGGTATCGAGGGGAAAGTTTTAAATTGGCTAAAATCGTGGCTCACCGATAGAACACAGAGGGTCAGCGTAGATGGTGTCAATCTGAGTGGGGCTGTGTAAACAGTGGGGTTCCCCAGGGGTCATTACTGGGCCCTAGGGGGCAGTGAAATTTTGCTCAAAGCTGCACTCTTCAGGCATTGTTCCTTATACATATCTAAGACTCCATGCCAAATTTGAAGCTGATATGTCGAGGTTTAGTCTGCCGCATTTTCTACTGAAATTTTTAAATTTACCTACAGTACTAGCCAAACAGCCGCTGTGGCGGTGCAATGTTCTGTTCAGTGTTTATCAACTTTTTGTTCATATCTCTTATTTCATTTAAGTTGTCTTGTTGCAGATGAGTATGGTGCTATGTCTATATTGATAATTCAGATGATTCAAGAGATATTCCTCTCGTCAATACTGATGCTGATTTTGTCCCTGATCCAAGGGCTCTGACAGACACCAGTTCACAGAACCGGACAAGACTCCCTACACTGGCTGCCGCTTGTGACCGATACTTGATTAGTGATTATGCTGGAGCTGCCATTGCTACTGCCACCTTAACTGACTATGGCATTATCACAAAGGATGACAAGAGTCAGGTTATTGGACCACATAAGCTGCGGGATGCGAGACAAAAATACCGATTTAAGAGGCAAGAAATTGAGATGGCTAGTTTAGATAATTTGACGTCACTCTATTTTGATGGTAAGAAGACCGCCACTCGTGTGATGATAAAGACTGAGAAGACCGAGAAAGATCATTATGTCATCATGGTTGAGCCTGGCAATGAATATCTCACACATGTGACTCCCAAGACTGGACACGGAAAGCAAATTGCCAAAACTATTCACGAGTTTCTGGTGGAGAAAAATCTAACCCAGCAGCCCATTGTGTGTGTTGGTTGTGATGGAACCAATGTAAATGTAGGATCAGAAAATGGAGTCATTCATCATCTTGAAATGTTACTTGGTCACCCGCTCCATTATTTCATATGTCAGCTTCACGGAAATGAGCTGCCTTTCCGCGCAGTTTTTTATCACTATGATGGTAAACCAAGTGGTCCTGAGCATTGGCGTGGTCCCATTGGAAAGCAGATCAAGGAGTCTTTGTCTGAGCTTCCAGTTGTCGCCTTCCAGCCAGTCAGTTTCCCTGATTTCCCTGTGTTTAATGATGAAGTGGAGAAAGATCTGTCCTGGGATCAGAAATACCTGTATAGGATTTGTAAAGGAGTTATCACAGGTGTTGTTGAAGATGACTTGGCTGCTATTGAGCCAGGTCCTCCCTGTGTGTCAAGGTGGAACACCTTATGGAGTAGAATCCTCAGGCTGTATGTAGCAACATCAAGACCCAGCCATGAGTTGAAAAGAATTGTCATTACAATAATAAAGTTCAGTGCTCCAATGTGGTTTTACATCAAGATACACCCTTACGTAACACACGGCTCAAGGAACGTATTCCAGTCCCTGCTATATATGAAACACCTGAATAGTGAGGAGGAGACGATAGTGAAGAAGGCTGTCCAGAGAAATGCATACTTCGCCCACACAGATCAACTTCTTCTTGGTATGTGTGCAGATGAGGACATGACTGTTAGAGAAAAAGCTGTCTCAATGATAAGAAAAATTAGAGAGGAGAATCAGCAAAAGGAAGAATGCACTGGCAGATCTGAAGAGGAGGAGGAAGATTCTGATGCTGCTGTTGACGAGAATTTGTTAAACTATACTGATGAGGAGGGTAAAGATGGAGATGGGAATGAGGATGTGCCTCCTGTAGTCAACATGAGAAAGGTGGTGACTCCGAAACTAAAGTGGCAAGCAAAAAACTATCATTCCATGATTAACTGGAGGAATGAACTCAAGACTGAGCCTCCTTACATTGCTTCTCTGTCAAATCTACAGGTTAATGACATTCTTGAGACACCATTAGTGGTGCCCAAGTGGCCAAACAGCACTCAGGCGGTCGAGAGAGGCATAAAAGTGATGACTGAAGCTTGCACTGAAGTGACGGGATACGAATCGAGAGATGGATATATTAGGCAAAGATTATTGTCTAGGAAAATGATGCCAAGGTTCCGCACAAAAAAGAATTTCAATATGAACTTGTAATGATTTTCTATACGGTGTACCTGTAAAATAACATGTGAATTAAATCGATGTCACCCATGTAAAATTTATCATTATCCTGGAAAACATTAAATGACACCTAATTTTTGGTATACACTAAAAGTTGACAAAAAGTCGTTCGCGATGCGGCAGGGTAAGTATGCATGAAATGGCATGAAATTTTGCACAGGTGTTTGTTACAGCCATACAAACGATGCCTGAAAAGTGCAGCCTGCAACTCAAATAAAAGTGTTTTCTGCCCCCCACT